CTAGCATGTTGAGTGCCATCTAACCCAAGGGGCCCATCATCCAGCACTATATTGTTAATCATTTTATTTTTTCTATCCATGTAGCTTTCTTGATAAAATAAAAGAGTGGTATATTTTTATTTTATTTTATTTATAGAACGTATATGGGTGTCAATCTTATACACAATAATCCTAGGGAGCTCACAACAAAACCCATAAAACAGCAAAATCACTCTTACAAAGGAATATCATGCTCCCCAACATGGCATCATAACATCCCACCAGCTCTACATATGCTGGCTTATCCCCAACTAGCCCAATGCTTTGTGGGGGGGAGGGGGAGCCTGGTCTTTATGGCTTTCTGAAAGGCTAAAAGGGTAGGAGCCCTGTGATTCGCAGTTAGGAGACTGTTTCAAAGGACCAGGCAGCTATGGAGAAGGCACACCTCTGAGATCCCATCAGATAACAATGTGTAAAGGAAGGGGCCTGGAGTATGCCCACCTTATCCAGCCTGGTGGGATGAGCAGATGCTCTCTAGAAGTGGTACCCTTGCCTTTTCGTGCATAGTATGAAATTATGCCTTTGTTGTTGTCATTAATGTGATTTCCTGCTTTCATTCTTTTTTCAAAATTTTATTAAAAACTGTAATTACAATAGTGTGATTTTCTGCTTTCAGTATCACCACTGCTCAATATAGATACCTGCTTGCTTTAGCTGGACAGCTGTGTGACCTTCATGCCTTGGTGACCTTGCTGGGATTATATATTCTTGGCATACAGATCTGGCATTCTTTGCTCATCCCTCTCAGAAACACCTCCCATGATGAGGCAACCAAGCAGGACATGGGGGAGGGGGGCAGTTTCTCAATGCCTATTGCAAACCGTCTGCCTTGATTTCTGTGCACATATAGGTAGAGTGCAACTTCCTCTTTCCACAAGGAAATGACAATATGCAACTTTGAAGCACATTATACTTGACAATAATTGCTGTAAAATTGTCTTAAAATAGACATGGGCAAAAAAAAAAAAAAAAGACATGAGAGGGCACCATCAGATAGGGAGGGAAAAATGTTTGACTCTAGTAAGCTATTTCTTATCTCCTTCTTTTATGTCAAGAGTGACATAAAACCATATTGCTCAATCAAAACACAGGATATCTAAAACATAACAATGAATGACCCTTACTATTGCAACTTTAAATGCAAACAACTTTGGCCTATACTTTGAATATAAGTAAAAGAGATGATAAAGGATAGTTTGAAAAGGCTCTGATAAATTACCTTGTTTTCTTTATTCATATTGCCACTATTAGCTTCAGTCTAATATATATTTGTTTCAATTCAATTTAATATTGGCTTGGTTGGTGGGATACCATTTTTATCATTCTGAAAGAGAAAAGAAAGAAATATAGAGAAATTAGTTAACACATGAAGCTTTAACAAAGATATTAGAATAGGAAAGAAATCTGGACTTAAAATGACTATAGGTATCAACATTTTTGCATGCGGCATATAATAAAGGCTGGTATCTCTCTCTCTCTGATTGCGGCATATAATAAAGGCTGGTATCTCTCTCTCTCTGATTGCGGCATATAATAAAGGCTGGTATCTCTCTCTCTCTGATTGCGGCATATAATAAAGGCTGGTATCTCTCTCTCTCTGATTGCGGCATATAATAAAGGCTGGTATCTCTCTCTCTCTGATTTATATGGCCGCCCATCTCATGCAGGGTGACTCTGGGCAGTAACCTGGTCCACTCCTTCCCAAGTTTACTGAAAAGTATTATATAAAAGACTCATTTCATCATAGCCATAATGGGTGGTAGATGTTAATATTTATGGGCCTATGATATCCACGGTATGGAAGATTTTCTATGCTTTGCATAATGTTGCTTGCTCTGAAAGGCAATCGTGTGATGGTATACATATATGTATTCAGAATACAGTTTATATCACATTGAAGGAAGATCCTTCAAATGAAATGCTTTGGGCCATTCAGTGCATAATACAAGTGTGCACAACATTCAATCTGAAAACAAAACAGCCAGGTTCCAAAATTTTTATCTTCAAACTCACATCAAAACACAAGAATTTTATATTGAGCACCGGGTAAGACAAAGTAATTTCAAGTACATTATTCTGAGTGCTTAAAATGCTGTGATTGGCCTTGTGATTCTTAAGGCACTGTACAAGGTGCTTTATTCAAAATATCACCCTTCCAGTATAGTGAGTGCAAGATGATCATTCTGTCCCTGAAAAACATACCAAACAAAGACATTTTACTGATCAGACCAAGTATTTTTGCCTCTACTCAGGAAGCCAACAAGACAACATGGATTTAAAAGGAGAGCTGAATGCACAGGGTTCCTCAGTTGGGAAATAAATAAGGGCTATGATACTCTAAAATAAAATGCAACACTCTCAAAGAACAGTGTTGGCCATTTTGGCTCTTGAACAGGAGTTAGCATTTTTCCACATTTCATGGAAGATTTGTTGGGAGTGAATAGAAATGGCATCCCACAGAAGTACAAAACTGGATTGTAAGTGTACCGTAGGAGGAACTAAATTTAATTCAACAGACCTTGTATTACCTTTTGAGATCAATTTTACAAGGGTCTGTTTTTGTACAAGAGAAGCTGCCTTGAGTCTGTTGTATGACAAGCAGCTTAACAATACAGTAAAGCCGACAGGACTTATAATAACACAAACGTTTCCAGCGTGGTGCTGCTTCTGGAACAGTGCAGCTTTACATTCATGTCCATGACATTAAAGTGCATGCAATGTCACGTTTGGAGACGACGGTGGTCGTGCTTGATTTTGTATCTCCTGTCTGCAAGTGCCTCCACTACGCTATCTACATAAACACCGATTACACTGGCTGAGGCTACATTAACAAGAATCAGACAGCCCCGTGCACTAGCTAAAACAAGTCCACTAACAGCCACCGAGGCAAAACTCCACAGATTCATCTTCACTCTGTCCTCGCTGCTTTCTACATTGCCCGTATCAGCCCAACTTCTCAATGCTTCCACGAACGGTTTTGATATGCCAGTCGTGCCCAGCAATCCTCTGCTGCCGCGGTACCGCCCCTTCTCCAGAGCCCACTCACCTACCTGGGCGGACCAGCCCTCACACCCTCCACCAAACTGCCCTTCTTCGCTTCCAACCTGAGAACTCTACCCGCGCTGCATCGTTCGCGCTGGGCTCCTCCCCATTCTTCGCAATCTCACTTCCGATTGGCCCTTGAGAGAAGGGGGCGGAGGCACCTCGCCGCCCCGTTCAAAACATTTGGCGCCACCGGGCTCGTCAGCTGAATTTTCCCTAACGCTCCGCGATACCCGCTCTTCTCTATTTACCTTGCTCCGAGACACGAGAGCCTTAAAGGCACAGCTACCCCTATTCAGACCAAACGCGCGCCTTTCCTTCTACCTGACTGCTCTTCCGTCCCTTCCCGGGAGCGATTTGAATTCAACAGGCAGAAGAGTAGGGTGTGGAAGCGAGGGGGAGAAATGAAGTTCTCAGCCAATCAGAACCCAGAAGGTTTCCCGCCTTAGCCAATCAGTGTTCTTTCTTTTGGACTGGGAGGGAAAGGGGGGGAAGAGAATTGAGAACTCGTTCGGCGGCGCCTAGAAAGAGCGGGGAAGAAGCGTGACTTCGTGTAACTTAGGGAGTATTTTGCATTCCTCGGTCTTCCGGGTTGGCCCTTTGAAGGAAACTAAGGCTTTTAGGCTCAATACCGGGGACACAACTAAACAAGTACGGCTGAATACGTGTGAAGCGCTTCCTCTCCTTTCATGCAGAGAAAAAGGCAGATTTTTTTCATTAAGAGAGTCCTTAGTATCTCTCCCTGATTTCTTTTCTTTTTAAAAGGAGGAAAATGTTGGTACAGTAACATTGTTCCTCCTCCCCAAACGGGAGTGAAGTTCATAATATGCAGAAGCCCAACAAATGACGCTTTTCTGTCCCACTGTTCTTGTGGCATTTATTTATTTACTTTCGGTATGTCCCATAGTTTTTGAACTGAATGTGTAGGAGGAGAGAAGGATAGAAATACTGTAAATAAAGTATGCCAAACACAACACTTTTGTATCTTACTTTATGTATTCATTAGTTGATAGACTGTCAGTTGTAAAGAAAGACTGGATTTCAAATTCATAGTCTTGGGCTAATCATAATCCAGATCTACCTCTGGTTTGTTATGCTGATAAAATGAGTTAACCCTATCATTTATGCTTGATCTCTGGAGAAAGGGCTATAAATGAAGAAAGGGAAAAGGAAAAATAAGGTAGTAGCCTATCAATGCAAACAATTTTCTTGGTTTCCATTTAAGTTTTAAAACATCTGCACCAGGCAGGCATTTGAGAAATTCAGCTATCAACACAACATAAAGATACTAAATGAAAGCAAACACCATCCAAATAAAAATGTGTACCAAAATTTAATATGAATTCCTATCATATGGTGATGGCAGTTTTTCCCCCTTCTCTAGAAGGTGTTTTGGGAAGGGGAGTCAGTTTAGGACATCTCAGGATTTTATTTTGCACAAACTGAATTTAGACATATTCACAAGTTTCCAGACTGTATTGCATCAGTTCCTGTAAGTAGGTGAAACAGAATACGTACCTCAATTTTCTAGTCCATAATACTTTTACAGCCAGTAGTGAACTGCAAAGACAAATATTAAGAAAATGTAGTGAACAATCTGCTTCTGAGAGGTACAAAAGAAGCAATTTTGCCTCCTGAGACATTGGCAACTTCAGTTCTTACTCTTATCTTAAAAAAATATATATATATACTCCAAAACACTTGCACTTCTAAATGTTTTCAGCAGATGTAATAGTACAAATATAGTCACGGTGTCTCCAACATTTGAAAGAATGTATTGCTTTCAACACATCTGTGCTTCCTAGACATTTGGGCTCATGATCTGAAGCTATATTAGGTAAGGACTGTGCCTCCGTGCTGAGCCTACACCAAAAGTGTCATGTGCCTGCATGGGTTGGGACAAATGATGATGAGTGTATCATGATACAAATGAAGCCATGTGCATACTTGTGTCAGATGATGTGACACAAGTACTAAGTTGTATGTTTTGTACAATAATGTGACACACATGAATATTTTGATTTCTTTGCAGCTTGTTTTGGATACCACTGGTGTCAGGTTTCAATAAAGTGAGCAGAGGAGCTGCCTTCCTTAGTCATAAAAATCAGTCTGGTTTGTTCCGTGGTTTATTCCAAAAAGATATGATCTCAGCTATCCGACATTCTTAGTTTTGACAGTCATTGGGTGATTTGGTTTGTTTTGGATTGTTTCAGTTCAACAAATTAAATGATTAACTAATGTTTTTAATGTATACAAATGTCACAATTGCTTCAGCATTATTAATATTTTTATCATTTGTTAAATTGTTAAATACATTTGTTTGTTTACTTGGAAAACATCCTGTAAAACTCAAATGAGCCCTATTAAACAGTAGTACATACGCATACATAAAACTGCACTATAAAAATGATATACTAAAAAGAAACCCTTACATTTGAATATAAGAATGTTTAATAGGATAGACCAATCTGAAGCAATTAAAATGTGTTGCGAGTGAGGATTTGTATGTAAACCGAATGACAGATCATTCTTGAAACGTACTCTGGCATTTGGTTTACTATGGTTTAGATGGTGCTATGTCATCAAATCTGCAATTTTGAAACATTTTTCCCGTGAAGTACATTTTGTTGGCTTTCTGTATAATAAATGAGCAGAAATGCAACTCTATACATGTTTATTTGGAAATAAATCTCACTGTTTTCAATGGAGCCTACTGTAGGATAATTTGCATAATTTCATATAGTACTTCAGAAACAGCATGGCAGGTCCTGAAAGTAATATGGTGAAGATTTTCTACAAATAAATGTTTTGCTTGCCCAATAATCATTCCCAAATTCACCTCCAAGATTAAGATCACAGCATCAGCTTTGTGATTCTAATTTAAAGTAGGTAGAACTATGCATGTTTAAAAAAAGGACTATCCTTTGGATCATGTTCATGTTGGCTTACCCCAGACAAGAAGTTACTGGAAAGTTACCACAAAAACTGGTTTATCTGGAAAAGACTGAGTTAAATTTAAGGTGGATTTTGCTAAAGTACACATTTTCCCTCCCTTTACAGACTGCTTTTTTAGGCATAGGAATGCTTTTAATATGTATGTGCTTTTATGGCTGTATTATTGAAATAATAATTTAGTTAGGAGATAATGTTGTAAGGTCTTTTTAGTGATAAGTGTTGTCTTGTGTGAGATAGATTATATACTATTAAGAAACTGGATATAAATGTAAACAAAAAAAGCTTTGATAAATGTTACAGATTATGGAAAAGTTCTGGACTTCCGGGGAAGCAATGGTGAACTGAAGATGGCTTCACTTTCAGCAGAGCTAATGACCGCAGGAGAACAAGGAGCTGAAAAACGGATCGGTGGCTCAAAATTTCTCCCTAGACAAAGGGGAGGAGTTGGGATCACCCATAGGGCTCCTTACAGAGGCTCCCTGTGACAGGACCAGAAAACAGCAGTCTCCAGCAGGTTTTAGAGCTCTGGAAGCTGGGAGAGTCAGATTGCCCAAGCCACAGTTAGGAGCCTTCAAAGAGATACCAGGTTCACCCACCTCCTTTCTTAATCACTTCTGTAAATGGCTTGTAAATCACTTTTTGGATACTTCAGAATGACAAGTTTTATTTCACTGGATGATTTTCCTTCAGTCCTCAATGAAAGAAGTTTCATGTAAGTTTAAGAACTTAAAGAAAAAAAATTATTTGGAAATAAGCAGCAAAAGGTGATTAGAACGTTGATTTTGGAAAATTATAAATGGACTAAGTGACTAGATTGCCTGAAAATAAGATTTTGAAATTAACTATAAGAATCCTTCCTGTGGTTTGTTTAAAATCCTATTAA